CGAGGAAGAGGAGGAAGAAGTGGTGCCGGTGATGGGGGAGCGCGGTGTGGTGGTGGAGGGCGGGGAGGTCAGGGAGGGCACGGAGGGTGCGGCGTTGGAAAAGCTGGCGCGTGCCGGCCACTGGCAGCGCTGTCTCGCCCACGCCGGCCGCAGTGCGCCCCACTACGCGCTCAGACACGCTGCGTACATATTCAATGCACACTCGGTATGAGCATAAAGCTCTAACTTCAATGTTATAATTTCCCAAGGCCAATTTGAATTCAAGTTGTTGTTTTATTCATTAGCGTTCAGAATTCTTTCAGAATCTTGGTTGTTGACTTTTAACCGGCACCAAAAAAGTCTAATTTTATTTTGTAAATGTTAAGCGCATTGAGGGTGTCAACATTGAAAGCGAAGAAGTCCCGGAAGGACTGGCCGAAGCATTAGAGTCATTACGTCAGTACCTAGTGAGCGATGGCGAGGCGGTGGTGCAAGCCAGCGACGTGGAGTTGGCGGGAGCTGTGTGTCGTGAGTTGCTGGTGCGCGTATCGACCGCGCCGCAAGTTCTGCAAGCGCTCAAAGATGCTGCAGCTATCATGTTGGCTGCTGGGGCTGATGACAGATCGCTTCAGGCAAGATATGATTTTCTTAATGTATAAAGAGTATTTCAAATACCTTGTTAACAGCAGAGACGTTAAATAACTTGAAATTTGTTACAAGTTCCCTGGATGTCAGAATATTGGCAAAATGTATTATTTAGGAAACTCATCTCTTTAATATAGAAAATTTGGAATCGATCATGCTTCAGTATTTTTCAAACCTTTTGCTTCTGGTTTAACAATTTGTGATAATTTTCATTAAACATAGAATTTAGTACAACAATAATAGGTTCTTCTCGCTTTATTTTCAGGCCATAACGTTATTAATGGGACTTCATGTTCCTCAAATAGCGGGTAAAGTTGCCCGGGCGCTACCGCGATATACGGACATTATAGTTGCTGATGTCGGTAAGAATCATTCAATATCATCAACCATACGACGTCATTAAACCTTTTCTTATTTGCTGTTTACCCTAATAAATGCATTGTATTGAAGCTGAGTGATGTTGGTAGCGTTCCTGCGGTGCGGTGTATGCGTGCGGGCGGAGGGCGCGACGAGCACGCGCGAGGCCTTCGTTCTGCTCAACCATTGCCTCGACCTCGCCGAGGCGGCCGACGACAGCACGCAACAGCTACTCAGCTTTTCAGATTTCGGTATCAAGGATTTTAACAAAAGCATTTTGTTGAATGTTGAATGAATTCACAAAAAGGCATACTTGGTGGGATTAGCAAGTTTGTACTGTAAAGGTTCAGTTTAGACAGTTTGATTTGCCAAAGGTAGGAAAATCAAGAGAGTATACTTAGTCGCAGGTTTGTCATTTAAAAAAATATACCAAGATCATGTCGGGGGACTTCGACTTCGTTACAAGAAATAACTTTGCAGAGGTCACCGACTGGCCGCAGAATCGGTTGCTGCTGGAAAAGTCCTGTATAAGCGGCGCGCCGCTGCAGGAGGCGCGAGAGTGGGTCCTCTCAGTAGTCATGGACCAAGATGTTGAACAAGTTAGTTCATTCAATATCTACTAACGCGAGTGACTTATGACTATGTGCTATATGATTGTACACGAGGTGTGACGAATTTAATATGTTTATACTAGGCGTTGCCCGTGGACAGTCGCGCCCTGTACGCGGCGAGCGTGACGCCGGACGAGCCGTGCTGTGTTCTCACAGGCTATCCTCTCGGCTCGCGCCTCGTAACCTTTTCTAATGGTTATTTTTTATTATCGTTATCATAATTAATCGTTTAAAAATGATAGCGCATCTATCATCTCCTTTACGCCATTTCATTAATTCAGGTTACTAATATCAGGTCGTTGCGCCAACCGCGAATGGTGGTCAAGGTGCAAGAAAGCGGCTGCGGGTGGCGCGGGTGGTGCGGGGGGCGGGGGCGCGGCCGGCGCGCTGTTGCAGCATGTGGCCAGCTGGTGCGGCCCGCCAGACACCACCAATCTCTAGACGTGACAGAGACTATCAACCGCACTATATCGGCGTTTGGACGCAGGTACGTCTACATGTACAAGCGCCCTCAGTAACAAATGTTAAGTTTATCTGTGAGAATCATTTATACTATAAAATAAAAATCGTGACTGAAAATGAACCTCAAAATTTTATTTTAGAGTATTTTTGTATCTTTTACAATTTGCTGTTGTAGCCAAATTTCTAATTTCACCTTTTCTCATTTTTATTTGTTACACTCAAAATGTATTTTACCTTGAGGTCAGAAATAAAACAACGAATACGTTTTTTATCGCTATAATAAACTCCGTTTTATCACATTTATTTTAATAATATACTTTGACACACATAATATTTGTTTCATAATACAATTTGAAGGATTTACCCGTCTTCGTGGCGAATTTTTCAAAACATACATGGATATATTTCCAGTTGCCGTTTTCAAATGTAAAGAGAGAAATGATCAGTATCGCGAACGTATTAAAGAAAATTATGACAAAGGATTGAAATTACGTCACGAAAACGGTATATATTTGAAAATAGTTTTAAGGTATTTCTAACAGACGTTACATAATACTAAAGTACGTTGTACATTTAGGTAAGAGTTTAGAAATGGTTAACCGACACTAAAATAGGCATCACCGCATCTAGAAAAATTATAACAAAAGGATATGTAATTGTGAACCATATAGAATTTTTTCTACAGAGATATGTGTACAAAATAGGCAACGATTCTTTTCGTCTTTAAAAAAAAAAACTTAGAAATAAGTGTCGTCGTCACAAGAGCGTCGGTGACGCATTAGTTATAAGCTTGTGAAGGAAAACATCGTGATACAACTTGTACATGTTGGCAAATTAATAGATATGTGTGAAGTCAACCAACCCGGACTGGGCAAAGCTGGTTGTCAGTTACCCTATTAGTAGTAGAGGCATATTTCTGACGACAATACATAAGTATTGATATGTCGTTGTTGTTAAAACTCACCGTAGAATTCTGAAAATATTTACATGATAATTTTCATAGACGAAAAGAACCTTGATACATTTATTTCTATGATGATGGCTAAAAAATTAAAAATGACAGATGGGGTTTATCGAGGCACATTATTAAATAGTCACATTTATACATTTCTTAAGTCAGAATATAGTTTTGTTATACATTTATTATATCAAGATAATAAGCGTAAAGTTGTTTCGATCACACCGACGTCTTGTCGATATGATAGTTTATATTATTTCTTTAATATTTAAAATCTAGATTATTTATTGATATATTGAAATAGTTTAGCATATTATAAATATTAAATATCGATCTATAAAATATCTAACTAAATAGAAAAATAATAGTGTAAAAAAATAGTTACGCGTCGCGTGTTGTGTATAAAGAATACAGGACATCTGTAGATTCACAAGGACTTAGATATATCTATTAGTTATAATATTCTCTCTCAGGAATTGTACAATTACGTTAAATTAATGTAAGGTGTATATATACTATTTATGTCTTGTAAATAAGGCGCATATGAGACTGGCTTATGTCGCAAATGCGGGTGGATGTACATATTTACTGTGATTATATAATTGAGATAATATGAGTAGATACATAATATAGATAATAAAGTATTGTCAAGCAAGCGAATACACTAAGACGTTTACGGGAAATAGATAAGGACATATTTGTGATAAAATATTGCTTTAGAAATGTAGAGTCTAACATCGCCGATGAAACACTCTTTTAGAATTGTTGTTTTTTTTAATACATTAAATCTATATGTAGTTAATAGTGAATGTAGGCCGGTGATATTGCTCGAGATATGATGTGTCGTTGGTTTGATCTGTCTACTGTGGGTCTAGTACGAATATTTGTGACAATCGCCTACGTATCGTCATCGTCAATTATGTTACCATTAGTATGATTTTTTTGTGTACTTGATGCCGCTGCACAAATATCAATACAAATTTTGGCGATTACGCTACGATGACGCTTGTCACAAATATTCATGCTAGGCCCACTAATCGTTTGTGCTTTGTCTATTGATCGAAACTTATTAAATTTTTGCTAAATATGTGTTAAATGTTAGCTAACTTACGCCGATATACCTTTAAATAAAGGGTGTTACGAACAATTATTATCTCTTTTATTATGTAGCCAAAGCTCCTTATTCGCAATACCGTTAATTCCTTTTCACATTTGTGGACAAATTTCGGTTTCCGTAACCGCGGCTCATTTCCGGAACGTTACCCCCGCGAATACGGAGATTTGACTTTATTCATTGCGTAGTATTGCAATTGGTAATTTTGTGTCATTTTATATGTGATAGTAATTCTATCACGAAATTAGTTGTGCGTAGAAAATTTTGGATGAAGTATAATATTTACAGTTTATAAATTTTAAGTAGGACATAAAGAAAGGAATCCTTAACGATGTTTATAGATAAGTTATGTAGGGAAAATTCAGTAAAGCACAACCTTGGAAGAATAGTACCTAGACGCACTTATACACTAAAGTTATTTTAAAGAACTACTTTTAAGGCAAAGTTTTGAAGTTGGGGTTATCAAAATGACGCTATAAAAGATTTATGCGTTTAGTTTTCTTTTATCGAATACATTTACATATAAACACACAATTCACTACTTTTATTCTAACATGAATGAAATATGTAGCTAACAGCTAATGCAGCTCAAGTGATAGTACTGTATATTGATAGAAGTGAGAGCTACCATATATGACTTACTATGTAAATATCTAAAGTTTTAACGACGTGGCTAGATTTACTCTGATCTGAGAAATCTAGATGTGGCATTGAAATGCAGCGAGGTATAGGTGTAGAGATTTCTAACTAAGTGTTATTAGAGGATATACGGTATATAAATCTTCATACATATTTAAATAGTAAAAATAAACATCTAAATGGTTTTAATTTAGGTTTTTTAGCTTATCTACGAAGATAAATTTATTAGACCGATTTTTTCGTTTGAATATTAATCAAGTTAATTTTGATATCAATACAATTTTGGATTTCAAGTAAAACAAAAATTAATTATAAATCTATATGCATACAAGTTTCACTAGTTTTGTAAATATACACGTTTAGCAGTTTCGATGTCGCGACTAAAGTTGGACAACAAAAGCAATCTATAAGCTCCGTTATAATACACGAACGCTTTGATTTTAATGTAACATTTATGTAAACTAATACACATAATTTATAAATACGAATATAATATAAATGTCCATTGAATATTGTTCTCACAACAAGCGTTTTGGGATTTCGTCGATGCATTGGGCAGCATGGTTCGCGACACGATGCGAGTTAAGACGCGATCGGAGAGGCGGCCGTCGGGAGCACTCTACATAGCTAATCAGCTAGTTAGTTCGTCAGCCTGTGCGATAGTCGACTAGTTTGTCAGCTAGTCGGCTAGTCGGCCAGGTGTCGTCGCTCCGGCGACGGCTCGCGGGATCAGTCGGGCGACTCGTCGGCGGCGAGCGAGGTGGCGGGGAAGAGCGGATACCAGCCGTAAGTGCGCTGCGGCAGGCTCAGCTTGTCGAGGCAAATCTCGGCGCCGCCTAGTGCCAGGTTGTGTTCGAAGCCGCCGCAGCGTTGCCACAGCATTACCACCAGCGTACGTCCGAGTGCGTCGCTCGCCTAGTACACGTAGCCATTCAAAAATAACTCATTTTGTAACAATAATTAAAACAAACTCATATTAAACTTATATCAAAACGCCTAAACACTCACGTATATACGTCCGGTGGCGGCTAAACTAGTCGGTTCCGCCACCGGACGAACATCCGTGAGTGTTTAGCCGTTTTTATATAAGTTTATTATAATGTCTTACGAAAGTTTGAATAATTTAATAAACTCATATTGTAAATGAATCAGAAGAACTTTTAAATTGAACTACCGAATGGTTGTACATCTCTAATAATCGATACTCCTGATACCTGATATTTGAGCGTCTGCTTGAAGTGCGGCTCGGTGGTGCGGCGGATGACGCGTGTCTTGCGCTTGTGCAGCCACTTGTCGCCGTCGCGCAGGTAGCACTTGACGTACGAGTCTGGCACCTCGCCGTTCACGCCGTACACTCGACGGGCGTGTGAGACCTGCAACATGGAATGACGATCTTACTTCTTTTATCGCAACAAGATACGTCTGTCCTGTTATCTGGTCTTATAATGGACACACCCCACTTGAGCATCCGCTGAGAATGGCATTACTAATGTTTCTTTAACAAATACTAAAAGCTAGTTATACATGACGGTGTAGTTCTGTAGATAGGCTGTTACCTCGAGTTCGAGTTGGCCTTTGATCATGATAATGCTGATGTTGATCTCGGCGTGCAGCGGCGGTAAGTGGGAACCGCGAGGCGGCAGTTGGCCTGGCCCCAGTGGCACGCCCTCTTCGTCGTCCCCGAGTTCGGCCGCCGCCGCCTCGGCCGCCGCGGGCACCGCCGCCCACATGCTGCCCTTGCGCCCCGTCGCCGTGCCTGCCGCCAACACCACCCGTACTGCACACGCCGCCTCCCCGCACCACGCAAACCCCAACCAACCAATCCCGCTCTACCCCTTCCTACTCTCTCACGCACCCTCTCGCTCACTCGATATAATAGAGCTTCACTTTACATTCATACTCATTTAAACGACATAAGTATAATTCATTCTCGAAACATAGAGACAAAACAATACAAACAATGTAAAACAAAACCAATCAATCGTACATTGAAAAATAAAATACATAAAGCACGTCAAACAGCTTCGTGCCAACGTTAAAAATGTCTTTTACATAGAACTGGAATCGACTCCTTTCCTAAACATATAGATGGAAGAAGAAGCGTTTTAACGTGTGCAGCCAAAAGTGTAGTCGACTTTCTAATAGTTGCCTGAAGCGGTCTCGAACTCAGTATATGGTACAAGCATTCCGTGTTATGATCAGCCATTAGAATAAGATAGTCCCGGTTGTCGTCAGAGAACTAATGTACAGAGCGCGCGCCGCCGGGGCATGCGCGACCGCGGCCTACTGCCGACGCCTACGCCGGCCGCATCGCGTGCGCTGATGCGTCATTCCCTAGCCTACTCGGTTACTTCTTTATCAAGTTACAAAAATCTTAGAATCTTCAACTACGGCCTAAGGATAAGTTAATATATACAGGAAATCTAATAGAAGGCGCATCTTTAACATGAGTGACATTCGCAAAGTTGATGAGGTCCAGACCTAGGCGAGACGTGTCGTCGAAATGAACGAAGACGGGCAGCCGCACAGCCGCACAGGCGGTACACAGAAACAGATGAAGTGAGGAGCGTGATCGCCCGCCGCCGGGCATGCGTCAGGACAGAACAGTACAGACACAGTGAAGTGATGAAAAGCGTCGGGCGCAGCCACATTCAACGGTGCGAGCGCGCGGCCGTCGCGCAAGCGATGTATGACCCATGCTACTACGTGCCCCCTTCCGTCCTGACGCCTCGGCTGCACCCAGCACGGATGTCGCTTCGGCTTCGATATGTAGACACATATGGGAGAAGAAGGACGAACGAGGTGGGTGTGCGCGGGGCGACAGGGCAGCGTTAGGGGGCTGTCGGCCGTCGGACGTCACAAGGGATCGTGTACCGAGACCGCGCGGCCTGCCGTAGACAGTGCGCGCGGCCGGGCGAGGGCGAGCTTACCGAGGTGCTAACGGTCCGTCGCTGCTGACCAAACAAGCACAACATGTACATGTCAGTTACCCTCATTTATGTATCGAGTAAGATGCTCCCATTGTAACTTGAAAGTAATATACACATTATTCAACATTATAAAATCTTTCATTTTTATGAATTTCTTGTATTACAATAAATAATCTCACCTACTTATAGTCAATAGATAATTAATGAAATGTTCTGCAAATAATTTTATGAAAGGAACTAAAGTCCTTGATAATCGTAGACATAAGAGAAAAAATAATTTACATAAATTATTTTATTTTTATAATTTGGAATGGAGATGTCATCAAATCTGCAACTCCATTTAAATTAGTCACAAAAGATATGTTATCTAATTGTTAATAAAAGTGGACAAAGTGTAGACCCATTAGTTTATAGTCGAGAACAAGTTTGTTACAGGCTTTTTTCGTTCACTTACATAGTAGACATTCAACAGATAAGAAGCTACCCATTGCTTTAAAGCGCAGCTAGAAGAAGGTCGATCTAAACTATTGCGTCTACAAGTTTACATTGCCTACTCTTGCCTCGTTATTATATCCGAATCCGTGCAATTCATGAAAATTACAAGCATTAAGGATTTTAAAAATGCACAACAATAGCAGCGTAATTTTGCATTAATTGCACGAAATCAATTAAGGTATAACTAATTTAGAGAATATAGGAATCGTGGGATAATTGGGAGAGTTATGTTGGTGGTACTTTTGGATGAAAGCGAGACTTACGCTTTGCGGTGGAGTCGTGGGTCATCAGGGGGAGCAAGTGCGGGTGGTGGTTGAAGATGAAACGAGACTTACGCCTGGCGGTGGATCCCGAGAGCGAGAGCGTGCGGCCGAGCTCGCCCTTGACCGCACGCAGCGACCGCAGGATGTCGTCGGGGTCGCGCCGCACGCATGACGAACGCCGCCGCTCACTGCGCCGCGACCCAGTCGGCGCCACAGCGCCATCTGCACCTTGTACTCATTTATATATGTATGTAGTTAACTAACCAGCACAGTATATAAGTTCTTTACTGGGTGAGATCTTTATCTGTTTCCTTAGCTGGATTATATTGAAAATAGTGCTAGCTCCTTTTTACAAAGGAACTTCAACTTAGAACTGCCAAGTTATGCGCGTACTGCGCCCTTGCCAGTACGTCCTAGAAACATATCCCTAAATCTGGTAGATAACCTTTGTAACCAAGTGAGCATCAGGTGGTGCCGATTGTTGTTTGACAAACCAGATTACTAAGAATATATTATTCTAAATTACTCTTTACTACTCTATATTGTTGTCATCACCTACAATAAAGAAGATTATTATGTTCTTAGTAAGTCATTAATATGACACGACATTACCTTTATCCTGTTGCTGAAAGGAGGAGCGCCTAGAACCGGGCAACGAGCGCGAGAAGTCCTTTCCGAGCTGGTACACCTCCACCTCGAGCGTCTCCGACTGCGAAGAGCCGCGCCGCGAGCCCGCTACCCACGCGTGGTCCGGGTGCAACAGCGACGCGCACTCCCCGATGGAGTCCACGTCATCTGAGTTAAACGCGCGTTCTCATTTCCAACAGGAGTTTATCTTGAGTTTATAACATCGACAAAGTATGCCGTGTATCAGACATTCTTTGTAGTTGGATTCTGTTGATACCTGATACAGATCGCTGCGAGGCGAAGTCCCCGCGGCGCAGGGCGCGCGCACCGGCAAGAGAGCCGCGCGGTGAGGTGCTGGCCGACCTGATGCCGCGTTCTTCCAACGTCCACCACACTGCGCGCTCCTCCGCGAACGCTTTCTCTAGCTCCATCTGCAATTGATCGCATTATGGACCATCGGTTGGCGTAGTTAATTTTCATAAGAAAAAATTGTAGTTGCATAACTTTTTTTGGTTTTTGAGAAAATATGTTGTAGTAGAAAATATTAGCTCGGACATTTTCACTGTTATATAAGAAGAAAAATAAATAATTTCACTATAAATATAAGGCATGATACACACGGTGCATTCTCCGATAAGGACAGGGTCGATGCCGGGGCAGGCGTCCCATAGAGTGAGCTCTAGTGCGCGGCCTGCCAGCAGGTCCGCACTGAGGCCGCCGAAGCCCAGCGTGGCGTTCCACACGGGGCTGCACGACGCCGATGCCGGGTCCGTCTCCACCGGCGGGCAGCTCTCCCTGACACACAAGCACCGAATGCACGCATACCCAAAGACCCATAAAGGGAGAAATAATATAATAACGCAAACATCATTAGCGTCTCAACTTACAATGACGGTAAGAGACGTATCCTCGCGAAGGCCTCCGGCTCGTCTCCGTAGCCGAGCGTGTGGTCGCGCGGCGGCAGGTCGTCGGCCGCGATTAGTACCACAACCAGCTTACGCAGTTCTGCCTCGAACCAGACCTGCAGCTGCGCGCGAGGCGCCGGCCGCTCCCGCTCCCGCTCCCGCGCGCGCTCACTGCGCTCCTGCTCCTGGACATATGCCACACATTCACATTTCTATACAGATATAAACAAAATCTAATCATCAGGCTACCTATCATTCGCCGGCTTTATCGTACCTACTACTATTTTAAATCTAAAGGATAGATCCATTTTATGGAAAAATAATGTAAATTATTTCAAAATCTTATAATATGTAAAATCTATTTTATAAGTCAGGGAAATGCATCGTCTCTCAACATGCAGAAACTATGACTTTTTCGGTAGCATATAAAAAATCTTTTTTTCAACATAACATTCTCTGCGATCGTAGCGATTCAATATTTTCGCCATTACAGTGTTTAATGTTCCTTTACATTGCAAATATTTTTATAAAATAACATGCTAATCGGGCTTAGGCATCGCTATGTAGTACAGTCAGCGTCATATAGATCGTAACAGACAAGATATGCAAATATATAGGTACATCAAAAGTAATCAATTATATCGGTACAACAAAAGTCCTCAAAATAATAGATACATTCACCCTGCTCAAATACATCGGTACATACACAGCGTCAAATATATGAGTACATGCAAGATGCTCATAAATATCGTAGCAGCCACAGCGTCATAAGTAACGAAGCAGTCAAGGTGCGCAAAAATATCGGTACATTTGACAAAATTGAACTCTATCTCTTTATACTTGTGATACAATTTGGAATAAACTACTTCTGTTACATTCATTTGACACTTTTCATCAAACCATTTTTCAAAATTTACTAAAAGTGTTCGACGCGGATGACAGATATTAGGTAGATAAAACCAACATCAAATTTAAGTTTGTCATCATATATGCTAGTTTGGTCTCGTGGCCTTACCGTTCGCCGCCGTTGGTGCGTAAGTTCGGCGGTTCAAATCCCAAGCAACTATTTTTTTTTGATATTTAAACTTTTTAATTTTATTATCGAAGCACATGGAATTTAACTCTATCGCCGTAGTTATTAGGTACTTTTTGATATTGCCTTGGACTAATGAGTTTGACCGTTAAAGTACTTTTCTATTTCAAACAAAAATGAAGGAGATAAAGCGATGCTATTGACATGTAATTTGTTTATTACTCATGTTTGTTAAACTTGTACCGGTAAAAATAACACTTTTACTTTTACCTTTTACTGATACTGATTATATTTAAGAAACAAAGAAAAAAAACTGTCAATATCCAAACTACATCAAATTTTTGGTCGATTGCAATAAACATTTCAGTGTCCGTGGGCGCGCACACATATGTAGATAACACTTGTACGTATAATTTCCGCGCGTTCCATTCTTAAAACCCGCAAAGACAATCCACGCTCCGCCCACTCACTTCACCCGCGATGGTCTGACCTAATTGTTGTTAACTTTATTTAAATTTCTTTCTACCCGAGAGCGAAAATTATAAAAAAAAATTGTCGAGCAAAATTTTACATTACCAAATTTTTACTGGTTATGAAAAAATAACCCCGTGATTGATAAAATGAAAAAAAAGTAGCCTGAGATTCGAACCGGTAAACTTACATATTACGGCAAACATACTAGAATACTGCGCCAAACTAGTATATATTGTGACAAGGCAAAATTTGATATTAGTTATTACGTATCTGTCATATTCGGCGTGACAAACTTTTATAATATATTTAAGCGTTATGACACGAGAAGAAAAATATTGGGTTGCCCAGTAAGTTCGTGCCGCTTTATAAGGAAAATTGAAACCCTGTTCTCTTAAATTTTTGGAAATGTTTTTAAATTATATTGGTACGACTCTATACCTAAGACGTCT